AGAATCAATTTCAAGCTATTTAGCTCTTGTCAGCTAGCCATTCCCTTTCTGGCATTCGAACCTTGGCTGCTTGCATATTAGGTAGATGTATTAACCTCTAAGCCACAGGTTCTCCTCGCTTTGTCAGCTGTACCAAGGATATGGGAAGGAGCAAACTTCTCAGGCAGTCGCTTTCACGACAAACCATTTTGTTTTCAATTTATATTGAACAAAGAAATAAAGGGATACTAGTCTCTTTATGTTAGACTCTTTACTAGCCTGCATTAGTCTCCCTTTATTAGTAAATACAAATTTAACACAAAAATAGTTCTTTATATTATACTCTTTACTAGCCTGAATTAGTCTCCCTTCATTAGTAAATACAAATTTAACACAAAAATAGTTCTTTATATTAGACTCTTTACTAGCCTGCATTAGTCTCCCTTTATCAGTAAATACAAATTTAACAAAAAAATAGTTTGTTAGCAACTGCATACGAAGGCTCCTGGATTGGGGCTGAAAGGCGAAAGGAAAGCAGTATGCTTTGTCCCATATCCTTGGTACAGCTGACAAAGCGAGGAGAACCTGTGGCTTAGAGGTTAATACATCTACCTAATATGCAAGCAGCCAAGGTTCGAATGCCAGAAAGGGAATGGCTAGCTGACAAGAGCTAAATAGCTTGAAATTGATTCTATACTAGTTCTCTCTTTAGTTCTTTGTCGGTAAATGTAAATTGAACACAAAAATAGTTTGTCGTGAAAGCGACTGCCTGCGAAGGTTCCTGGATTGGGGCTGGAAGGCGAAAGCAGAAGTGGTATGTTCCATCTGAAATTTGGGTAGACCAGGTTGCCCCCCCCAAAAAAACCTCCAGTGATGGAGCACCTGTAACTTCAGAAGGCAAGCTGTTCCATTGATCGATTGTTCTCAACATCAGGAAATACTAGATTGAGAGGGAGAAATCGATCCACTTGTGCCTGGATGTTTTAAACTTTTTTTGCCACATTGGCGTCATCAGAAAGTGGGGTAACTCACCTCATCGGGGGAGTTCTTTACTTTCTGGATGTAACGTCGCACCACATCCTCAGGATTTCTGCCTGGAGAAAAGAGAAGAATCAGTGTTGACACAAAGGCATGAATTCACCCACACCAGTGGTGAGAATCAACTGATGTAACAACTGATTTACTGAGCAGGCGCAAAACACACGCTCCACCAGTGGTGGGTTTCAAAAATTGTTCGAACCTACTCTGTGGGTGTGGCCTCCTTTGTGGGAGTGGCTTGCCACCCATGTGACTGGAAGGGAGTGGCTTGCTGCCCATGTGACCGGATAATGAAGATGCCGATGACACTTATCAGAACCACCTTAAATTACCTCACACACAGCACTGGCATGCAGAAGAATATGATGTAATCTTTGGTTTGCGTTAAAACAACTTCAACACACGCAATGTTCTGATTGTACCACAAACGCCGTAGTCATCCTTACCTTTCACAGAGGGACTGAGTTTTATAAATATGAGCATGATAGTGTAGAATAATCATATCCAAGGACCAGTGGTGGGTTTCA